CTATGAAGAAAATATCTCATTCGGCCCTCTCGGTGGCAATTTGTACATAATTTCTAAAACGTGCCCACCTTTGTTCGATGCATAACTCTCACTTTTTCATCCTCCAAGGCTCCAACCCTACCCTTTCTCCTATTGGTTCCTAGATGTTCCAGTTCTAGCTCCGATTGAACGAAATGATTTGTGGATTTTGTATATCGAACCAAGATGATCATTTCGATGTTTGATTTAGAAAATTTGGTGCAATCGAACAAAATCGAGGAGGTCATAGTGAAGCTATCCGATGATTATTTTTGTTCGGATTTATGAGTTGCCCATACCAGTTCACGCATCAAATGAGCCGATAATTAATGGGTTCCCTGGATCTAATTGTGAGTCATATTATGGTGTCAAGATTCTCATTTTTGTACTTGACGAGATTGGAGCAGCGACAATGATGGATCACTGGTAGTTACATTCATAAATTTATTTTTATTTTTCATCTTATATGTAGAGAGAGATAAATAAAAAGAATTGATTTAATAAATTAATGAATTCTTTTATTTCAAAAGAAGTATAAATTAAATTATACTAACAAACTAATTTTAATTCTAAAGTATCTAAATTTCAAAGCATCCAAACACAAGAATTGTATTAGAACCTATTTTCTTAGTCAATTCGTAAGATCAATAAAAGAATTAGAGCCGAATTACAATCTCAATTTTAATTCTATAAAATTGTTATTCTAATGTAATTTCACCTATTGAAAAAAACTCAGTTGTATCCATGGAGAAACCGAATGTCAATTCGCGAGATTGAAAAAAATTCTTAGAAGGAATCACTATATATAGTTGATCGTGTAAATCGAGAAATAATCTCTGTTGGAGATTAGCTAAAATGGCATTATCCGGAGTTTCTTCAACTTTTCAAAATTGAAGAAAGCTGCCAAGACAGATTAGGGGATTTTTGGACCTTGACCAGCAATCATTTCCCTACTTGCGAATAAGGTAGATTATAATTAATTTAATTTTGTGTATTCAGTTGATAACAGTTTAAATTATAGCTAAAATAAATAGAGTTGTCAGGATTTTGTAATAAACACTTGTGAGATAATTACTTAGTATAATAGTGTAAGAAACATAAAGAACAGTTATAGGATAATATGTTATCTTTGTAAGACAGTTTGTAGAAGTAATTGCAATGGAACCGTTACGGAGTTTTTTTTTAAAAAAAAAAATTGTATGATGGTTTCTTTTTGTTTGGGTATGTCTTAAGCACAACCTTTTGTACTATACTTTTTTACTAATAAAACGGGGGTCTTACCGTCAAGTACTACCCTGAATTTTTCTTAAAAAAACATTAAATCCAACAAAATGGAGCCTAAGTGAAAAGTAAATGGGAGCGAGAGGCTCGAATAACTTCATATTCACCTTGGAGACCCATCAGATGGTGTGCACTAAGTTTTGTTTAGAGGGATTTATTCTTCCAAAGTGGGCGAACATGGTGAAAATATTATTCACTTTTTCCTTTTTTGCCTCGACTTTTACTCAAATTGCTAAGACATTACAAGTAACTTTTGCATAGGAGAGCCACTGCGTCTAAGGCGATGGAGACGAATTCCGTCGCAACTGAGGTGACGGAATCGATTTTTGTTGCTTTATTGAAGACAAACATGAACTCTTCTTATGAGAGCCACACAACTGTTTTCACTACCAAATAATGTCTTCCTAATGTGGTGGGTTGTCGAAGCCCCCAAAATAAAATTAACTTAAAATTGTAGATAGCAATAAGTTGGGACATTCCCACAAGAGGAAATGAAACTCTAATAACCTGATTGATTCGACGAAAGACAACAAAATAAGAAACAAGTAAACTGTAGACTATGAAGGCAAGTGGATCCGCTACTTCCATAAGTGAACTAAGAAACAGACTGAAAGAATAAGAACCCAAGAACAGACAGAAGAGAGTGATTCACACAAGTGGATTTTCTACACACCTAAGTGAATTACGAACAGACATAACAAGAAACATCAACTTGGTAAGTGAGGCGAACCTAGGGTCTTCATCCACTCTCCTCTATGTAGTTATGTAAGGAATCAATTTGTAATCTTGTCATATGAACTCGTGTTTGATACTTTGATCAGACACTCTTATATCTCAAGGTCACTTCCAATTTTCCAAGGGGTCTCTTTGCAAGATTAACAAGCTCTCTTACAAATAAAGTGTTTAAATTACTAAGTCATTAAGATCATTAGTATTATGTGATCACCCATGCCAACCAAGTATCTTCTGATCTTAATTGAAATCATAGACTATTACCTCTTCATCATGGACTTTGCTTGCTCCTCGTTAGAAGTTTCATTCTAATAATTTTGGTTTTTATATGATTAGGTCATTTGAGACAAGGGTTGTAGTGGTTATGAACTCTTAGTGAATTTTGGAGTTCAAATTAGAAGAGAATTGACATCCAGCAAGGAGCGGTCCTTCCAGCTACTTCGCTGATTATTTAAGTTTATATTATACATTACCTCAAGCCATAGGCCTCTAATCCCACTCCCTTATCATTTAACATTCCTACGGGTGGTAGGCTCCCTTATGCAATCTTGAGTTCCAAATCCACTACCACAGTAATGGCGCGGACCCGGAATTTGGAAGATGAACTATGAGAAACAAGGTACGTAGTCTTGTACCTACCACTATGATGGAACTCTTTTTTCTCTTTCAAAGAATTATATGATATATCATTAATGGAATCATGTTATGTTGTTCAAACTATGAGATTTGGAGTCCGTTTAACGTTTGTTTCAACAATATTTTCATCTTTCTAAGAACATATTAGTGTGTACTTAATCCTTATTTCCTGCTAAAGGGTTATTTAGTTGTGGCTTCATTTTTGGATCGATCAGTAATATTTTGGTTTTGGAAGTATCTTTATGTTTTTAAGAACATATTTGTGTGTAATTGATCCTTATTTGTTGTTCAAAGTTATTTGCTCGTGCAGTCTTTTTTTTTTTCAAGTCAATTTGTGTCTAAATTTATGACTGGAAAACTGAATTTTCTATTTTACAATGAGTCTTTGTTGTTATGATTGTTTCTCAAATATCTTTCTACTAACATCTCAGGAGCTATACTATCACACTTCTTCAGGTATTGTTCAAAGGTGGGTAGGTGTACTGAGCTTGTGTAAGTTTCTCTTAAACATATAGTGGAAAATAGTTTTTCGACCAGTTAATTAGGGTTTGCCTCACAAAAGGCATCGTAACATAAATCTCTGCATAAATTTCTTTAGGATTTTCTTGGTTGCTTCAAACCTCATTTAGTTTTTCAAAATTCAAGATAAATGCGTGAGGCATGAATCATATTGGCACGTTATAACTAAGAATTATTTCAAAAGAGTTTGAGTGATCCTTCTTCACAAGCTTATCTATGACATCGTTTTTCAAAAAAAAAACAAAAATGGTAAAAACGTTTAGGTTCACACTTGTATTCATTATGGTGTCAATGGTTGATAATTTCATATTTCCATTCTCAAAAATTACAAAAAACGAGTAAAAATATATGGTAATTATTTTATTTTTTCTGTGCCAAACTAAGGTAATATAAAGTAAATAAATCATCAATGTTTGTAAAAGTCTAAGGGTGCCTGATCTTTTTAGTCCCTAAAGTATTTTTCATTTCAATTTTCATCCTTAATGTTTTCCACATGAAGAAATTAGTCCTGATAGTTCTTTTTTCTCAAAGTTGGTCCTATTGAACGGATCCGGCCACTATTCCGGCGAATATGATTTTTTTAAGAAAGTATAATTAGAGATTTTTTCCAAAATTTTATAATTTGTCAATTTTACCCTAATTTTATAAAATTATTTTCAATTGAATCCAATTTTAACTTTAGCGCATCACTTTTCCAATTTTACTCTATTCATTTTTATGTATCCAAATCAAATCTTTCTATCCCAAAATATAAAATTTCCTATATAGTTTACCTTATTCTTCTCATATTTACTATGAACAAACTAATCTTAAATATTTATTAATTTATTAATTTTCTTCAAATTATTTTTTTACTCTACTGGCCCTATGCTAAACCAGAAATCAACACTTCATTATTTACTCTTTTGGCTCATACAAAATTATAAAAGTATAATTGGAAGAAAATAAATAAGTAAATGTTTTAGCATATTTTTTTAGTTTTTTTTATGATAAAAATGAGAGAGAATAGGGGATTCTCTCTAAACGCGAGCTTCTCTTCTAGAAGCATAGAGGCCAAATTTACTGTTCTGGTTAATAGCATCTTTACCCAAAATGAGTGTCCTCTCACGAAGTGTTTTTTTAAATCCCAACGATCCAAATTCATTCATAAGTTTAGTCAAACATATCCACTACTAAAGGGTTTTCACTTTAACTCTGTCGGATAGTTTTGAACTCATTGGTAGTCTTTCCATTCAACCTTTTCATCTTTCTTTGTGTTTTTTAGTCTTGTGGTTCCTGGAGTCTTTCCCAAGCTCTTGGGTCCTTGCTAAGTCTGTCATTGTGTGTAATACCCATTTAGACTTTACGAATGGACCCCAAATTCGTTGAGGGGTATTGGTCCGATTATACCTCTTCATCACGGGGTTCAGATAGCTCGTAAAAAATAAGGCATGGTCCCCGTGGAGGAAATGTCAGCCAAAACAGAACGTTGCCGACCAGGAGGGGTGTAGTGGTCCAAATGCCACGCAGGTTTGTGGATAGGGCACATGATAGGTTTGAGAACTATCTTGTTGGTTTCCTATTTGATTATAGGACTTTCAGTAGAAATACCATGCAAGATTATGTAACGGAATATCGGGGCTTGGGTGTCACGGTATTGAGGAGAGACGGTAGTTTCTATGTTTTCCACTTCACCTCATTTGGTCATATGTTTGCGGTGTTGCACAATGGCCCTTACGCCATTGCGTGAGCTCTATTAGCACTAAGAAGGTGGAGACCGGAGATGTTCCTCCGATAGTTGAAGGTGACCCATGTCTTGATTTGAGGGAGTGGCAATGGAGTATTTTGAACAAGAAGCACGACAGATGATGGCTGGGATCGTTGGAGGTGTGGAGGAGGAGGAGGTTGGCGGTTTTTGGGACTGCCGTAGTTTATGCGCGAGGGTTTGGGTAGGTGTGGATGATCCATTGGTACCAGGTTTTTATTTGAGCATGGGGGTGGAGGAAGGGTGTTGATCCAATGTGCATACGAGAGGGTAAACAAACTATGTAGGCAGTGTGGACGAGTAGGTCACACGATGCCGATATGTCCGATAGAGGACGATATGGATTTAGACCATTTTTTGTATGCTCATTTAAGGAATGATGCAGAAGCATTGGGGTTGAGAATCAATGAAGATGATAGTTTTAGACTATACACAGCGGCTATTTGGGCTCACCGACATATGTCGGAAGTCAGGTTCACATGGATCCCAGAGAGCTATGTCCAAGAATTCCAATGTAGGTTTACGGAGAATTGGGTTGGATTGATTGCAAATGGTTTTCGTTATCAACTTCTGGAGGGAAGGGATTTGCCGGTATCCCTTATGATTCCGGGGTGGTCAAAGTTGGGAGTTTGATGGTGGACATGGCTCATGAACCCTCCCGGGGCCTGCATGGGAGGCCTCCAAGGTCAAGTACAAGCCACAAGGTTTTGGATGATGAGAAAATGGGTGGATTATTGGTTCTGTCACTGGGGGACAGTGGCAAATTGATAACACCTGGGGAAGGAGTGATGGAGACCGGGGAGGCGGTAGATGTGGAGGAATGCGTACTAGGGAACTAACGACAGAGGATCCACCAGTTAATTTGCCATCACCGTCAAACTTCCCAGTGGATCTGGATAGAGTGGAGGAAATTCCCTGGGAGACAAGACCGAGGATCTATGAGGAGGATGGAGAGGTGAAGGAGGAGGAGCTTATCAATGTTAATGGTCAAACGCAAGCTCTCCGCCCGGGTCCGCCATCGTGGGACGGATTCTTCACAACTGACAACCAGAAGGAACTACCGGAGTGGTGGGAACCAGACTTTTTCATTTTAGCCAAAAGATGGGTGCTAGACAACGGTGGAGAAGAAAATGGGGAATTAAATGCGGGATGTCAGGAAATTATTGATGGGGGAAAGAAAGTTCAAATTTTAGGTGAAGTGTTTAAATGCGGTTTAGATATGAATGACCCTATGAAAAATTGTGGCTTAAGGGGATTTGATTTGATGGAACCATTCACGGAAGAAGCAAAAGAGGAGGAGGTGATGGGGCAAAATGACGATAATTCAATGGAGGATAATGATGAAGATGAAGATATGGAGGATCTTCTAGGTCTGGCGTATAGGGTGTGGAATGATGGCCAGGCTGGAAATAGAGGGGGCGAAAATTAATGAAGAGGAGGGAGAGAACAGGAAAGAAATCAAAGAGGGATTGAGATAAGGGAGGGGGGTTTAAACTGAGTATGGTTGAGGATGATAAAATAGACATGGGGAAATCTGGCCTATCAGATGAGGTGGCAACTTGTCAATTGGAGATTTGTTTATTCAGAAACTTGTCAAATTGCCAAGTTGCTTTCTTTTCTTTGGCCGCCTTTTGCTTCTTCAGTCATAATCAGCCACCTTCTTCTCATGATTGCCTTCTCTTTTAGTTTTCTTCTCACGCACCTCTTCACCAATTTCAGCCATAAATCTCCATTTCTTCTTTCTTTAATCTTCAGCAACACCAGTAATTGGGGCAGCAGGCAACATCAGCAGTATGCTTGTGTGTAATCATCATGTTCCTCTCTGCTCAGCCTCCAATTTAGTTTCTATTCTTCTGCTCTTCTCTTTCTTGCTTCCTGGAATCATTAGCAGTACCATTTCTCGCCTCCAACAGTAACCATTTCTTCACTTCAATCACAGGCAGCAGCAGATGGCAAGTAGCAGAGCAGCTGCAACTTTATGCTTCGTATTCTCCCTCTTTCTTTTCTTCCACTTGTAGTAGCAGCAACTTACAATGATGGTGTAGCGATTTCTTCCTTCAACAAGAATTGAGCTCTTATTCTTCCTTAATTGATCGGTTTTTGTCCCAATTTTCAGCAGCATCAATTTTGGTCCTTTTTAAAGCTATTTTCTACATTTTGGCCCCAATTTCCCAAGAAGTTCCATGTTAGCCCTCTGATCATCCTGAAATACAAAATCAACCTAAAAGTAAACTAATTAAATAATTTTTTGAAATTCACATCCACCACACCGCTTCCTTCGACAATAATGGCCCTTGCCAATATTCCTCTTCAAGCATCCTCAACGGTGACAAGCTAAAATTAAAGGTTAGAAAGCATTATATGTTAATATGTCTTCTTGTGCTTTTGTTAAAATTTCTGGTTGATTTCATTTAGGTTGGAATTTGCAATTCTCCTCCCAAATTCAGTGGCTATCCTCAAAAAACCCCTCCCAAATTTTTTTGGTTATTTTATTTTGGATTTCTCAGGTGGTTTCAAATTCCATGTCATATGGCTACCAATTGGAATAAGAATTTTATTGTTTACCTTTCTTTGAATCTAGTTTCCATGAAATTGGTTTGGCTTGAAGTCGTGTATGAATAACGCTATGAACACCATGAGTGATGTACAGTATCCATTGTTGGTCTATTAATAGTATATTTGCATAGGAAGCCACGAGGGGTCAATGTATTTCTTTAGTTACATATTTTTTCTTTATGATTTGATGATTCTAATGGGGGTTTAACTAGTTTGTACTCAATTCTTAGACTGATTTGAAGGCATAGGTAATTAGGCAACTTGTTTGGTGAATTTGATAACCCTTCATCATCCTTATGGCCTAGGTATTTTCTTAGACTGATTTTGCTTTAACTTTTCTGATCCTTGATATTTAGGTTAGGGGGAGGGGGGAGGAATTGAGGACTATGATTTTTTTCACTCATCACTTTTCTCGCTTCTTCCTTTCAATAAAGATGAAATGGATAGAACTTTAGTTCTTTATTATCTTAATTTTTATGGTTCAGAAAAAAAAATTTGTTATTTTGGTCATAGCATAGACTTTTATGGATTTAAGGGAGACCAACTTATTAATTTTAGTCATGATTGAAGAAAAGCTTCCTACAAATTTATTTGAGCGTGCCACGGACATGATAATTTTCGGCTACAAATTTATTTGAGCAGGTCATGGACATGACAATTCCCCACTGCAGTCAACACTACTTCCTATCCACCATTTTTACTGATTTTGAAAGTTTTTGTGTTTTGGTTACATCTAGAACTTTTGTAGTTTTTTCTATGTGAATCATAGCGATCCAGGATTGGCGAGGATTCTTGCTACGAAAGAATAATGGTTCGTCGATAAAGACATGCGGATTCAACAAGTTTCATTTCACGGAGATTCTACTACCACGTTTTGGCATCCTTTGATGAGATGGATTGCAATACCACTTCTAGAATATCTTAAAACTATAACTAGACTTCTCTAATGTATGATTTTGTTAGATTAGTCAGGAATATAATGTCATAACTCCTGACTTTAAGCAATACATTAAAACTTAGGCGAATTACTTAGTTGACTCTACAAAATGAAAGATTGAAATTTTTTATGATGAATATTATTGCTTTAGATTACCCTCTCCTACTCTTAACTTTTCAAATACCTTATTATATGTCAATGTCTATAACTCGTATATTTTGATTGATTGAGACTTTCAAACTCTCAATCTTCGGTCTTTTCCCCTTCCCCTTGCCCTTCCTCTATTTTCCGTTGATTCCTCTTTCAAAGTCTCCTTTGTCTTCCTCCTTCTTGACCCTCTCTAATTCCAACTTTTAATCTCTTTCCGTATATTAACTTTATTAATTTTATGCTTTTATTTGCATTCAAAGGTTTGGATTTCCAATTTCAATTTTGAAAAAGGTCAACAAGTTGTTGCTTGATAGATCTTTTAACTGTATTGAAAGAGCCAAACAACAGTTGCTTCTGTATGTATTTCAATGGTTGGAAGATCATCCATACTCCAAAAGTCTGATCATACCAATGATCGTCACCATCACCGAAACATTTCTTGCAGAGATTCTGATACTAGTTTTGTAAAAAAAAATATCATACTTGTGTCAATGTGGGGATCGGGAGTCTTGCTGCCTAGGTCTTCTCTTTTGAAGTCAATTCTTATGGCAACAAGATCTGGTGTCCATGTAGGATCCGATCAAATACCTAATTCTAGTTGATGTGATTTTCATATAAGAGATGTCTTTACACCTTCAATTTTCAAAGGCACATATATTGCCCTGACTTGGCTTGGGAGTATCACACGCTTCTTCTTTTGGTACCTCAACAGATATAAGACATAATAGATTATCAGTCTGGCCAAAGAAAGAATGGATTATACAAGAGAAGCTTGGCATCATTGATGGTGTGGCATCAGCCATGCTAACCGTCATCAGTTTCATGGTTGTTATTGAGTCATAGGCTTGGCAGGTATATCTGTGTGGACCGTAGGCAGTATTGATGGAAAGGCCACAACTTTTGCACTCCGTGATCTACTTAATAATGCTCTCAGTAGGATATTTGTGTTGGTTACCTATCTCTCAAGGTTGGGGATGCTTAAACGCTGGTAATGTTGAAGGTACAGTTATAGACATAGGATTAACCTTCTTTCATCTAATCAAATTCCTCTTTGATTCCCAAACTCCATGTTCTCCAATCAGATTATTATCAACAATTCCAATGTTGAATTTGAGGTCTTTTGAGGTGCACATTCGAGTTCGAGTAGCTGGACAAATAGAGAAGATTCCTAGTATTACTAAAGCTATTACATCGATGCTGGAAAAAAACAAGACTTTGTATCTAGACCAAGAGCCTCCATACTATTCACTTGCACATATGCCACTGTTAGTGATCCAGTGTAATTTGGCCAAATGGGGTAATCAATAGCTCCTTTCTATGGCAAAGCAAAATATAATTCAAGTGGCTGCTAGAATCATTAAAGCTCATGGCTACACTTTGGAGTGAAGTTAATTTACATCTAGGGTGATTGGGAGAATATTTTGCAGACCATTTAAGTAATTCATAATTTAATAGTTTGATCTTTATCTTTTTGAATCTTAGTAGAAGATTGATTCTTCGTCATCTATGACTCCGTCTTTAGTGTGCAGAACAATTACGTAGCCAGTAAAATTTTGACTGAAATAATTTATCTGGGATGATTTCGAGAAAAAAAAAATTCGCTATCGCATTCATCGTCTTATTGTTAACTGTAAACAACACTATCCTTAAACTTATTAATGACAATACTATAATCTCTGTATTGCTCGGTATTCCATCAAATTTATTGTGCATAGTGCAATACAAAAGTTAGTTAATTTGTATTAAAAGTGAAAATCTAAATTGAACAATATTTTTGGAATTAAAAGAGTGAAAAGAGGTTCCCATAAACGGGGAAAAATCATTAAACCAAAAGATAAAATAGAAAAAAAAAAGAGTAAAAAGAAAATCAGCTAAAATACAAAATCACCCAGACGTATGCTCCTTATAACTTCACTTGTTATTTAGTTATAATACAATTTAATATCTTAAAAACAATTATTGTTTCCAATGAAAAGGTAATATCAACAAAAGTTGGTAAATACCGTGATGATAGACAACGAAGTGCTCCGACCGGAAGGTAACTTCATCCTAGCTTATCATACAATTTTTGAACTATCCCATACAAATAACTTGAAAATGGTAGAGTTTTGGGGATTCTTTTAGTGCTAGTGTAGTGTTAAAATGACAAAAAAAAAAGTTTGGACTATAACGATTGAAAGTTGAAACTTGCTTAGAAGTTTACAACTTTATTGTTGATTTTCCGAGGGGGATAAAAAATCTTAAAAAACAAAGTAGGAAGTTGGTTGAAGATACTGTTGAGAATCACATTAAGAAGAATTCGGTTTTGTAAATAGCGTACATAGATTAATAAGTAAATGATTTGGTAAATCGTGTGGCCATCAATTCATATAAATTTACTACTGACATTCCTTTTTCCAAAGACGATGCAAGAGTTATGATGCATGTTTGAAAGGTCTTGAGAAATTTACGATTCTTATAAGAAGAAGGGGAATCCTAATATCAGCTTAAGAAATTTCAAAATTATATCTTTTTTTCCTAGAGTAATGGAGTATGCGAGTTATCAAAGGGAGAGATTCGGTAACTTTGACTCAATGTTGGCCCTGGGAAAAAGAAATCTTGAATTTAGTTTTAGGTTTTTAATATCATTTGATTTTCCTTTGTTTTTCCAACTTAAATTTTCATATTTCTAATTTCTCAAGTTATTTTGGATCTTGTTCTATTCCAATTGTGTAACTGTAGTCTTATAACTGTATGCTCGAATTTATGTTGGCAAATCGGACTTGATTATTCAAAAAAATAAATTA